GCCTGGCACTTAGTTAAGGGGTTTTATTCCCTCCCTAACTTCAGGGGAAAATCCCTACCTGGGGAAACAACCTTTCTCAGAGAGGTGACCTTGGTTAAAACACATAGTGCCAAGAAGGTGAGCAAACATATTAAGAACAGTATGCCATATATGCCAGGTCCCTTGAAACAGCAAGGATGGACCGGCTCCAGGCAATTTACCGTACATGGTTAATAGAAATAAAATATAGTAAATAATACCAATGAGAAAATGCTCATATGTCTGCCATGACAATAAAAATAATATAGTAGTAGTGATGATGGGTCAAGTTTAATAGTCCTATGCAGAGGAAATGTAGGCATTTCCCCTACTTTTATGTTTTCATAGAATTCTGATCGCATACTCTCCTCAACTCGCCACCAACAGGTTATTAAAGTCTGACCTTCTGTTGAGACAACTTTGAAAAAACCAATATGAACAGTGAGTGCTCTATGTCTTCACAGACTCAACCAAATGGAAGACTCAGGTGGACGCTGACTTTTCAGTAAGTGCAGAATTCACCTTATAAACAATGTCCTGGCGAGCAGAGAGGGCCTGGCAATCAGGGGGAGCTTCTTGGAGAAAGCGAACTTTTCAGATGTGCTTTTTGTATAATAGAAATGTTAAGCTAGGAAACCGTGGGCCTTGTCCTAAGGAGCAATGCAGTATGTGACATTCATTTTGTATCCACACTTTAGAAAAGTAAGTTCGGTGTGGAAAATGGAGAAGACAGAATCTACTGTCACAGCCCAGGTGAAAAGTGATGAGCGTGAACCAGAGACAAGATGAGTATTCAACATGGCTGTCAAACACGTGGACGCCAGGAATGAGGACGAGGAGAGTCAGTGATGCCTCAGAAATTTCAGCCTGGGGTTGGTGCCTCGTTAAATTTTTTAAAATATATTTTTGTTGATTTCAGAGAGGAAGGGAGAGGGAGAGAGAAACAGAAATATCAATAATGAGAGCGAATCACTGATCCGCTGCCTCCTGCATATGTCCCCTACTGGGGATCGAGCCTGCGACCTGGTCATGTGCCCTGACTGTGACTTTCTACTTCACAGGTCGACCCCCAACCACTGAGCCACACCGGCCGGGCAGTGCTGCTTTTCTTGTAGATCAAACAGGAGTCCAGATGGGCATTCAAAGGTGTCTTGAGTTCACGGTGCATGGCATTCCACTGCTGGTCAGGCTCTGGATCCCCTGGTCCAGAGTTGAGCCCTGGAGACTGGTGGTTTGGAGCTGGATTAGGGACTCGTTAACCTACAGGAGGCCGACGTTCAGCGAGAGTGAGAGAACATGACTGACCAGGAAAGGGCGTGGAGAGCATTAGGGAATGATGCAGACCCGGCTGCATGGCTCAGTGGTTGAGCGTCGACCTATGAACCAGGAGGTCACAGTTCGATTCCCTGTCAGGGCACAGGCCTGGGTTGTGGGCTTGATCCCAAGTGTGGGGCGTGCAGGAGGCAGCTAATCAATGATTCTTTCCCATAACTGATATTTTTTCTTCTCTCTCTCTCTCTCTCTCTCTCTCTCTCTCTCTCCCCCCTCCTCTCTGAAATTAATAAAAAATATATTAAAAAAAAGAAAGTAAAATTTTTTTAAAAAAGAGAGAACAATGCAAGATGAAACTCTGGTGAACACCAGATGGAAAAGGCTAGAAACCAGAAGAATGTCCGGGCATGAAGGCCGCAGAGATCATGGAGGAGGGTGAAGTTCTGAGGCTTCTTACAGGGCATTCTGACACACAGTGGAGCTGGAGACAGATTCCAGGTGGTGGGAGAGCAAGTGGAAATTCAGAGGGTGGAGATGACGAACAGAGACCCATCTTTTGAATGTTTAATCACTTTTAGAAAATGAGGTCACCATTTGGCAAGTGCTTTCAAGGGCAGGCACTAGGGAGGCTGATGGGGAAGAGATCGGGCCTAGGCTTTGAGGAGGGAGATGTGCCGTGGTGCAGAATGAAGGTGCTGACAGAGGATTCTTCGGGTGATGGAAGGAGAAAGAAAAGATAATAATTGGTGGAGAGGAGGAGGAAGAAAAGGAAGGCTTATTTTCAGGGTGGGAAGACTTGAGTGTGTTTGATACTCAGGAGAAGGACCCAGAAACAAGAGAGAAATCAGTGCCCACGACAAAGCATAAAGGCTAGCGCCATGTCTTAGAAGGAGGCGGCGGCGCTGGGTAAACTAGACGTGGACCAGCCGGCACTGGCAAGGGCACTGCCCTCGAGGGGGGTGTGGGGTGTGCGCGAAGGCCGATGGAAGTGTGGCAGAAGTCAGTACACGGAACTCAACTGGGGTATCTGACCATCTTGCTGAATGCGAGAGGGGGTGTGGTGGGACCAAGGATAGGCTGTGGCTGCAGCAAAGGACCAGGCCTTCCTCCGAATTTCAGGGGAAGGGAGCGCCTCAGGTCACAGGGCACTGAGACTCAGTCTGCACGAGATGACTCCACCCTTTCCATCCCGTCTCTCACAGCGCGGGGAAGTGGACAACCGTGTGCCCTTGTATTTCTTCAGCCGAGAGGCACAGGGTCGGGTGGGAACAGGTGTGCGGCAGGATCTACTAAATGGTAAGCGCAGGGATAGCACTTTCGTATTATTTAACTGGACGCGGGGAATGCCAATGGACGTATGACCATGAGATGACAGAGTGGGTCAACAACGTCCTGTCACTAACTTGGACAACTCGCCCTGCCAAATGGAAAAACTGAGCTACTGCAACCAATGTTATCAATCCTAGACACTGGTAACCCCCGTAAGGCACAGTGCGTGGCTTCTCCCACTGCATTTACGTTCTGAGGTCCCTAAGGTGAAAATCACACACCCAGAAAACTGAGCCTTAGATCCTGTACCAATGTACTGGTTTAACAGGTACAGCCATTACCATCAAAACAGACCGCTTCTCCTACACGATGAAGAGATCGTGGTTTCTTCCACTGAGGTCCAGAGGAACAAAACGCTCACGTTCAGGGGCCCTAATGTTCGGGAAATATCTATCTAAACACTGGAGAACCTCAGCTTGGGGACGTCTCACAGAAAGAGGCGTTCGGGAACCCTGGCTCTGCCTGAGGAATGACAGGTGGGGACTCCCATCTCCAGCCCCCTCTGTGCCAAAAGAATGGTGGAAAAACTTCCCACATTATTTAAACGGCTATTTCTCTCTTACTGCCCCCAGAGTGCAGATGGACTCTTTGGGAGTTAAATACATGCATCATCTTTTGCCACAGGGTAGATGCCTAAGCCTCAGCAAGTCAGAAATGTATTTTGTTAGCCAATCTGTTCTGGGATATGTGGGTAAGCCATCAAGATGCTTCATTTTAAGGAAATTCCCAATGGAACAACATTTACCTTATTACAAAGGGAGACCTACCTCGGAGGGCTGCTCGACTGGCTGTGGGATCATGAGTTGGTTGTGATGCTGTAGCACCGTCTTCAAGTAATCTAGAACAGTCTGGCAGGGCACTGGTGGGAGAAATTGCAATGATTATACATTAGCTATCCTGCCACAAGGAAACAAAACACTCTTAAGGTCTAAAAAGCCTTTTGACGTAAACTTGTA